ACCTGTGAACACTCTTCACATCATACCAAGTTTGTGCTCATCTAAGTAGAGAGCCACTGGAATCAAAATGAAAGCATTCAACATTATACACTGTTCATATGTGCTGTTTATACACAAACCTATGGTTTTGCTCCTAGCTTTATGGATATGCTCTATTTCCAGGAGGCTGTTTTTCATAAGGATGTCTTCGTCTTTTCCCCAAGTTTCTCAGATGTTTGCTTTACATAAAGATAAATACCGACAACTCAAAAATGAGTAAAACGGATAGAACAAAATGATGTTTTCAATGTCAGGTTGCAGGGGATTTAGAAATAAGATTGGTCCCAATACAGACATTGCTTTTCTCACTCATGTAGTCCTCATCCTAGGAAATTCACAACGTTCCATCTTCATTCACCCTTCTCAGGGATTTTATTTATACTTTCCTCCCTACAGACAGCACTCATATTTATTTTATTAAAATTTCTATGAACTGTTTCTTTTTCATCTGCTTAGAAAATTAAGGAAAATTTATTAGCTGATTCTATGTAAATTGCTCTGGTTCAGTTTTCATTGAGGATAAATTTGTTTTGAATATCTGTTATGACAATTATATACAGCTACATTTTCAACCCTAATGCATTTTTAATAACTTCCTTCAGCAGCTAGTGATTTGAATTTCAAATTTCTTTCTACCAAGAGGTTAAAAAAAAAAAAGTATATACCATTTTATAGCCATTTCACATAAAAATTGATTTATGCAGCAAGATCTCTCTCACAGTAAACATATCAAATGTCTAAATGGGACCATTAATACTCATAAGCCTTACAATATGTATGTTCCAGATAGAGCACAGCACAAAGTTAAAGCTGGCAAAGAAATAATTCTGTCCTTAGCTATTGTTCATAAGTCTCTCACTAAGGCTGGACACATTTCACTCATTTGATGGATTATTTTGATTTATTGCTATTGAGTGCTATAGCAAATTTTCGGGTGTATCAAGACAACTGAATAATCACAAGTTAAAATACTTAATAATTAATAAATAGAACAATTGGGGAAATCCAGACTAGCCTATTTTAAGCTATCTTGAAAATGAAGATGATTTTTTTTTTCCAGTTCTGGGGTTCCAAGATTTGAACTGAACATGAACTGCTCAAAGGAAAAGAGAGATTTTAAATAGGTCAGCCTTTTCATAAAGAGATCTCCCTTTACTCACCTGTCAGAGAGAGCTGAGAAACTTACAGCTTTCCTCAAAAAAAGGATTCATGGAAGAAGGCATGGGAAGTGATGGTTCACACTTTGATTTTGCAGAAACAAAAGTCTACACCAGGATAAAAATATCACGAACATTTGTGACTGCTATTTTGCCTCGATGGCTGGTTTTTAGGGTTGGGACAAATTAACTTCATCTGACCTCTGGGGTGGCATGTTTATAGGGACGGGCAGCCTCAGGGATGAGGAAGACACAAAGCCTCTAATGTTCTGTCATCTCTTCTCTTCTTTTTCCTTTTCAAATGTCAATATTCTTCATACTTTTCTCTTTTGGTAACATAAACAATTCTCTCTCTAGAATTGTTAAAACTTTCAGTTGGGAAGTTCCGGTTAAACAGTCTCAATAATTACTATAAATTTTACTGTTTGGTATTTTAGCATTTATTCCACTTGCATTTCCTTTTAAGTGCCATTTTAAATAATTTTCTATCATTTTTGGATTGACTCATTTTGAGTCAAATGTCAGCTTTTTTTATTTTATTTATAACTCTTGATAAACTTAGAGCTGAAATTAGTTTATCAAAAACACCCTGAATGCCACTGTAAGGCTGGTACCAAATCCCACGACTTTTAGAGGAAAACGTTTTATTTTGCACTGATCAAGCTCTCAGAGAGGCATTAATATACACCCACCTTCACATCACCATTCAGTAGATCTCCTGTGCATCTGCTTTAAGTCTGGCTGCAGTTCTAACTGTTGAATGAAAACATCTATCTGAATGTACCGTAAAGAAACCTAATCTCACGTGCCAAGAATGCCTTCTTCTTTCCCTCGGAGAACTGCCCCTCCACAGTGGGTCCCTGTCTCTGTAACCTCAGGACCACCCTTCTATCACCCGGTCTGGAAAACACAGCGGCTCCTACTCCTTCCTCTTCTATTTCTTCTATATCCAATCAGTGAAGGCTTGTGATTTTTTACTCAAAACTTGTTCTCCTCATCTTCCTTCCTTCATGAATTACACCACCCTCTTCTCTGCTGCTCAGACCCAAACGCAGGAACCTCCATGAGTCCTACCTACCTTTCACTAACACCCCACATCTAATCCCAAAGTACATCCTGTCAGCACTCACCGACCATATCCGGAAGGCATCCTTCTCCCTCCAACACTAACATCTTCACCCAAGTCACCATCACACATAGCCTGGACTCAAAAGGGCTAATGTTTACTGCCATTTACTAGATGCCAAGTAAGTAGTTATGTACTTAGCTATACAGTTTAATTCATTAATAAGAGCTTATTATATTTAATCTCATTATATTCCTATAGTACCATTTCATCCCCTACAATAATCTTTTTTGCGTCATAATCTGTCATATTATTACGATCTTAATCTGTCAGAGGAGGCAAATTAAGTACATGGAAATTAAACAGCCTATGCAAGTACACACGGCTCTTAAAGATGGATGCTGGATTCCAGAGCCTACAATCCTACCCACTGTGCAACATTAAGATGTTTTTTATTCCAGCTCTACGACTGAGATATAACTGGCATATAACATTATGTAAGTTTAAGGTATACAAAGCGATCTTTTGATACACGTGTACATTCTGAAATGATTACTAAAACAAGGTTAGTTAGCATCTCCATCACCACCGCTTAGAGGGTAAGATGAGTAAGTTCCGGAAATCTAACGTATGGGATGGTAACTGTGGTTCATGGTACTGTGTGGTTTACTTGAAAGTTGATAAGAGTCCATCTCAAATGTTCTCACCACACACGCACTAAAGTGATTAAGATTCTTGGTCTTTCTCAACAATCTATTTGTCAGGATGATCTTTTTCTTTCTTGAGTATTGTGCCTGAGTCATGAGTGCCAGGCCAGCCTCCAGCCAGCATCCGCCCCTGACCAGCGGGCAGGGGTTCTGCCTAGGAATCCAGAGTAAACAGTGTGCTCAGTCTTTCCAAAATTTTACCCAAAAATTAAAGTCACAGACTCATATTTCACCACTTTACAGTTTTTCATCAAATCAGGTTTAAAAATATTGCCATGATCATAACCATAATACAAAACACCAGTGAACCTTTAGAACTTCCTGTACTTTTTCATATAATTACAGTAGGCACCACTGAGATGCTTGGTCTTTGACAGTCTATCTCCAACAGTTGTCAGAAGAGACAGGTACTATAACACGTACTCATGAGAAAATCAAACTTCCATGAGCCAGTAAGTGGCTAGACAGGAACTTGAACTTGGATTCTCTGAGAGTAAGTCTATATTAATATAGAGAATACCTCATAAAGAGTTAAAGAAATTCAAATGCTAAGCCCTCATGTAGAGCTCCGAATATAATAGAAATGATTGTTAGATATTTGTGTAATAGAATTACTTAGGAAATATTGTAGAAAAATCTACTTTCTAAAATAAACTTTATTTTGGAGAGCACTTTTCAGTCCACAGCCCTACTGAGCAGAAAGTACAGAGATTTCCCTCCACTGTCAGCCTCCACACATGCACAGCTTCCCCCATCACGCACATCCCACAGCAGAGCGGGACATTTGCTACAGCTGATGAGTCCACTTTGACACAGCATAATCACCCAAAGTCCGTATTTTATAGTAAGGTTCACTCTCGGTGTCATACATTCTACGAGTCTGGACAATGTCTGATGACATACATCCACCATGATGGTGTCGTAAAGGATAGTTTCACTGACCTCAAAATCCTCTGTGCTGTATCTGTTATCGATCCCACCCCCAGCCCCAGGCAAGCACTCTTGTTTTGTTTTGTTTTTTAAGATTTTATTTATTTATTAGAGAGAGAGATCACAAGTAGGCAGAGTAGCAGGCAGAAAGACAGGAGGAAGCAGGCTCCCTGCTGAGCAGAGAGCCCGATGAGGGGCTCGATCCCAGGACCCTGAGATCATGACCTGAGCCAAAGGCAGAGGCTTAACCCACTGAGCCACCCAGGCGCCCCAGCAAGCACTCTGTTTTTAATAAAAGGAGAATACACATAAAATGCATATCACATAAAATAAACCCCACAAAATCATTATGTTATTCACGGTAACTTACTCTCTATTACCAACCGTGAGGAATTAGATTCTTTACTGAGCTCACTGAGGCATGGTCAACAAACCATCCTACCAGTTCACAATTCTGAGTTCTGACCATGAATTCTCCACGTGATTATAAAATACTTAACTGTATTTTGGTATTATTACAAAAGACAACTTTAGGCAGCATATTTAACATCATTCTGGGGTATTTCCTACATACTTTCCATCCTTAGTAAACTGATTCATGAGAATGAATCAAAATTCATAGATGGTATGGCTACCTCCTACACGTCAGCCTATCTGATGATCCTTTCTTGTTAAAGCTATAAACAGCAACTACTGTGCACATTAGCAGAGTCATTAGCACAGCTAACACCAGCCTCCAAAGTTTTATCTCCTAAATATTGCCCACAGTTTAAATCAAAGTAACAAATGCACAATTAACCTGAACAGAGGGAAATCGTCTACTCAGCACGTTGGGAAATGATGTGGTTGAATTATGAGTCATCTCATTTCGCAAAGTAGCAATAAAAATGAGTCTTTCATTTTGCGGAGGTACCACTGGCATTTACAGCAGATGATTAAAATAAAGGAGAAAAATAACTTTTGCATTATATCAAAACAGGGACATTTTATACTGGTCATGCAGTTTTGCCCCTGCGGATTTCATCGATCAAAAGAAATGTCTCCAAGAGTTGTTGCCAAGGGTCTGCTTATTCCCTAGTGATTCCGAACACTGTGGCTTACCTTATGGAAGTTTCTGAAATACGCTGCCTTTTCATCCGGAAATTTTTCTAGCCTTCTGGGTCCTTTACTAGAAGCCTTCTTGAAAACCAACCAGCATCGTCTGAAAATCTGAAAGCAAATGAAGGATCTGATTATCTATCTTTTTGCATGAGTTTTGTAATGCCAGGAATTTATTTATCCAACTAATCCACTGGAAAGAAATTTTTTTAAAATGTATTTAGAGAGAGAACAGTTTTTGAGTCCTAACCAGGTTATTCATTAAAATTACAGCAAACTTTTAAGAACACAATATTTAATATAAAAGTGACTTTTTTTTTGGTACAAAGATTTTATCTTATGAGGTTTTCAATGTGCTGGCTTCAATGGTCTTTAATCTAATTAAATCATCTGTTATCAATACCATATAAAATATTTATCTCAGCATGCCAGTGACAGGGCAATTCTCTGTTTTCCATGATAATGCAGTCATAACTTGTAAGATTAAGCACTTTCATAATACTCAATTTTCTATCTTTCAAAAATCACCACTTCTAAAAATTAACTTATCTTGTAGGATTAATTTACTTTAAAAGACCCAAAGCTCATATGTTAATTTAGAAAACAGGAAGATAGGTGCTTTTATAATAGAAACATCTGCCTTACCCTTTTATACTTTACAGTAACTAGCATTTGTTGAATGCTTATTTATATGGACTACATCTAAACATTTATATGCACATTTGATCTTCATACCTACAACATGGGGTAGTTTATCTCCATTTTAGGATAAAAACAGTGTGACAGTGTCAGGATTTGCACACACCTCTGTCTGAGCACATATCTCTTCAGTAAAAAAGCAGGACCACCAATTATACACACACACACACACACACACACACACACACACACCATCATTCCTGGACTCTGCCCCTGTTTCATAGGACCAATTAATATCGAACTCTGAACTTGGCCTCTCTGTCAACCTCCCTCCCAAAGTACATTTAAGGCAAAGTAATAAAATGAGTCTCATCTCAGTCATTGGAGAGGTTTAGAAATGCAAATTGGCCACAATTTAAGATTTTTAACATGTAGCACAGTTTTGCCAGAGTCTACATTCTCTATAGCCATTAATAAATGCACTGAGGGAAGACAAAACTGCAAAGTTGCTATATTGTGTTTCTTCCTCCCCTCTCTTCCTCTTTCTCCCCTCCTCCCCTTTCCTCTTGTTTTCTTTCCTTCTTCCTCTCCTCCTTCCTTCCTTCCTGCCCTTTCTTCTTTCCTTTCTTCCTTCTTTCCTTCCTTCCCCGTCTTTCCTCTCTTTCTCTCCCTCTCTTCCTTCTTTTCTCTTTCTTTCTTTTCTAAAACCAGCCAGATAATATAATTTCTTGTAGAAATTATAATTTCGATAATATAATTTCTAAAATATAATTTCATTGTTCATTACTCACTAGAAGACAGTGCTTCCCATGTGAAAAGGAACTCTTAGAATAGTTACATAGGAGACCTTTCATAAAAGCATTATGAACAGAGTAACAACGCACACACTTTGACTTTACACTTGCTACCTTTCTTAGCTCCTTTCCTATTACCTTCGAAAAGCCTCTAAAGGATAACCTTGAGCTCTGCATCAGGTCTGTGCGTCTCTCCTTCTCTACCTGGATAGAGATGCACCTCCTCCGTGATGGGATTCCTAACCACACACCTGGAAGTAGGGTGTTAGATTACACCCCCCCCTCCACGTTTGCTGGTGTCCTTCCTCCACACTTGTGTTTAGCTCATTATGTTACTTTTTGGCCCCTTATTGGTCTCCACCCCCACAGTAAAATACTATTTAAAAAACATGTGAATACTGATTATAATATAATATCAGCTTATGGTTTGCTTGGCTTTGACTCAATTCTACGTGGGTTTATTTAGCATTATAGATTCTGCTTTTAAACTTTAAAAAGGTATTTATATTTTAAGTAAATTTAAGGTAATAAACGTAGAAAAAGAAAACATGTCAGAAAAGGCAGTTTGTACAGTGGAAAATGAATAAAGTTTTGTGTTAGTTTGCAAATTTGGGAGTTCCCTGGGTGAGGTCTGAAACTGGCCCCTTTACACAGAGGGCAAGGAGATACCCAAGACTGAGACGGGCCACTCCAGGCTGGTGAGTGGCAAGTTTAACGAGCAAGGGAACTCCCATACAAGACTTGTCTTGGGCAGCCACAAGACAAGCACAGCTCAGCAAGCCCCGCTCTGCCCTTCCTGTCAAATCTTAAAATGCCACAGAGAAGCCTTAACAGGGTTCAGTCACTTTCAGTCCAGATGATCTAACAACACATTGCTCTCCCAAGACCGTGGGCTTGAAAGGGCTCTGCCTACAGGCAGGGTGGGCGGAAGGTATCCTCCAAGGATGGGGACGGGTGAGGTCCAGCTCTCAGGTCAGCTGGTGACAATAAAGTCCTCACAATGACCTTGCCCGGCATTTCGGAATCCAACAGATGGGTTTACATCAGGGCTTTGCCGTTTACTAGCTGTGCAACCTGAGACAAACTACTTAATGTCTCATGTAGAAGGGTACCTCACTGGACAGAAGGAAGAGTCAACAGGATGGGCCCACATCCTAGTGCACGGCAGGCTCTCCACATGGGCGGCTCCTTTCTCAGGCTCCTTTAACTTACAAAGTAGGTGCAATTTGCCACACATGACAAAGTCATATGTAAGGACACTTTTTTGCTAAGGACATACAATTCTAACAAAATTCAGATCCAGAATATTCAGACCCAAATATTCCGCAGTCAGAACAATTAGAACACCATATAAAAATTTTAAAAAATAAAAATAAATACATTGATGATCTTTGAAACTCGGACTGTGGAACAAGGACTTGGAATTGCAGCTCTGCCCTTTGTGAGAGCCATGTGGCTCCGGGCAAGTCACTGAATCTCTGAGCATGTATACTTCTCTTAGCTGGTAGAAAATAATGCCTCTATCATAGGATTGTTGTGACAGTGAATAGAAATAAAATGTTCACGGCTCATGGCTTTGTAAGGTTATAGAGGAGTCATGCACTAACAGACGGTAGTACAGTGCAAAACAGCTAACGTGCTCTTAGAGGTAGACTTTGTTTAGCACACCCATAGCCATTGTGGATATTTACATATATTGTAAAAATAATTGCTTCTACCAACATATTTTAAAGGTTTCAAATAATTCCAATAATTATGGGGATTATGTTATACACACTATTTACAGACAAACTGTCTAAATACTCTTGAATGAAAGCGAGTTCCTGTTAATTTCACCATGGTTTGGATATGGCTGGTCGCATTGATTAATATGCAGCTGAAAAACAGAAAAAAGTGCACAAGTTTACTCTCTTTCTAAAATTATTCCTTTCACAATACAGTGTGAATTAATTTTTGCCCAGGATGAATCATTTCATGCAGTCATTAGTGTAAATCCTATGCAATGGAATTGAGGGTATTCTATTGCAATGCCCAAGAATACAGAGTACAGTTTTTTAGCTAGCATATCTTGATTTTCAGAGCACATTCTGCTATATTTCAAATGCTTTGTCTTGAAGAAGTTATTTTAACTTCTCTAAAACCCAACTTCTTCTTCTATAAATTCAGATCAATATACCTCATGAAGTTGCTATTTGAGGATTTAATAAGATAGCTCACAGAAAGAATCTACAATATGTGTTTAAAGCTCAGTCCTCACACTATTATCTGAAACTCTTGGGTTCTGAACACTGCTATGGATTAAACTTCGTCCCTCCTAACCTCTCATGTTGGATTCTTTACCCCCAGTGTGATGATATTTGGAGATGGGGACTTCTGGAATGTAATTAGGTTTAGATAAGGCCATGAGGGTAGGCCCCTCAGGAAGGGATAAGTGATCTTGTAAGAAGAAACCCCACAGAGCTTGTTCTGTCTCTCTCTGTGCTCCCCCACACACAGTGAGCTAGTGGCCATCCGCAAGACAGAAAGAGGGCTCGCTTAAGAACCTGACCATGCTGGCACCTTGATTTTGGACTTCTAGCCTCCGGAACTATGAGAAAATAAATGTCTGTTGTTTGAGCCACTTAGTCTGTGGTTTTTTGTGATGGCAGCCCAAGCTGACCAAGACAAACCCTTTTAGATTTTGTTATTACTAGCCAAAAGGGTGGTGGTTGGTAATGGATGTAGTTGCAGTGGTAGCAATATTTTAGAAGTGAAAACAAGTTACATGAATCAGACTAGAAATTTGAGGGATTGGAGCAGATAAATAAAAGTATCATTTGCAAAGTGGGATGTATATAGATTTTCAATATTTATCTCTTTTTTGTTATTGAATTTAGAATCCTAGCTGAAGTAGGAAGACTCTCTTTGAATGGAATTGAGACCAGATCCCTGGTAATATGGTTTCTGTTTGTTCCTACAGAAGAATGCTTTCCTCTATATGCTTTGCACTTTATTGCCCATAGCTCAGGAACCATGATGATGTCAAATGAAGCCTTATGATATTCATGGAATTACAGAAACACACTCACTGACTGTAATGCCCATCTTGTGTGACTACAGTTATTTTCTATTAAAATGTCAAAATGAGTTAAATATAAGTTGGAAAGCATAAATGTTTCCACTTTGGCACTCAGTGTTACGATGGAATACATCTGATAATGGGTAATAAAGAAAAAAGAGTGGGTATTTTCATTAATATATTATCTATTTGCTATTACATTAAGAAAGGCAACCACATAAAGATAAAAATTGTTGAAGACTTGATTGAATAGAATGTTTACCAAGCAGAGGCCCTTAAATTACTAGTTTCTTATTCTGGAATAATGTTAGATTAATAAAACAGTTGCTAAAATGGTGCAGAGTTCCTAAATAGACTTTACCCAGCTACCTCTAATATTCACATTCTATATAACCATGGTACATTTTTCAAAACTATGAAATTAACATTGGTATAATATTATTACATAAAGAGTTTATTTAAAAATTGCTAGTGTTTCCACCAATATCTTATTCTGTTTGGGGATCCAAGAGATCCAATCCAGGACACCACATTAAATTTAGGTGTCCTGTATCGTTGGACCCCTCTGATCTCTGATAGTTTCCTAGTCTTTTCTGTTTTTTGTTTGTTTGTTTGCTGTT